CAAAAGAATGTATTTTTTATTTCATTAATTTCTCAGTATTTAGACATTGGTTTGGAAGGAACAAAAATGAACTTGTCCCAATACTCAGAATATGAGTTACAAAAAAATGATCAAATTTATAGTGTACTTCTATAGTATAAAATTAAAATAAATTTTATATTTTATTTCAATTTTAAATTATTTTAACCTACATTGTAAAATATTCTGGATTAAATTACGCTATAAATTACCTGCTCTTTTAGTGTATTATCCGAAAAATCCATTTTCCCGAGAATTCATTTTCATGGAAAAATATTATATAACCGTTATTTCTACAGCAATATTCTTTAATTAGAGTAATTCAGTGAATTTAAGGTAATTATTTCCAAAAGTATTTAAAAGTCTGGATTGCCAGTACTTTTAGCCTTAATTTGATCCGGAATTTATTTCAGTGTAATTCATAATTTTTATCTTTATTAAACAGAACAACATCAAAATAAATTGAAAAATATACGTTATTTATTTCATGAACGATTTCATTGATTAATGATATGCACAGAGCAAACTGTACCTGCCCCAAAACACAGAAGATTGAATGTGAATTACAAAAAAAAAGATTGAACATGTTTCAATAGTTCAAATTTACTTCATACTTTTTTTTTGTACTTTCAATTTATTCTGATCTAATTCTTAACATTTATGTTCTTTACGAAAAACAAAAAATAAAATTTACTTTTAAAATATAAAATGATACATTATTATTTCATTAAGTTTTTTCATTAAGTTTATTTCATTAATTTTATTTCATTAAGTTCAAATATACTGAATATGAAAGAAAGAGAAACTCTGTTTAACCCAAAAGGCTAAAAATGGAGCATAAGTTTTGCTAAAAAAACAAACATAAAATCTGAAATCTTTATTTAATATTTTAACAGAAATTTAGGAAAACTTCGTTTTAAAATTAACGATTACTTAAGAGTATATAAAAACACACTGTAAAATAATAAAAATGATCCATAAATGAGTGAAATATGTAAAATCTGTAAAAAATTAAGTAGTTAAAATTCGCGAAACGGCTCCATTTTAATTATTCTTTATAAAATTTAGCTTCAAAGTTTCCGTCTGCTTTCACCGAAACCTTTTGATTTCTTTTCAAAATTTTATTTCTTCAAAAATTTTTTTATCGTATTAATTAAAAGTAAAATTGGTAGGAATGTTCGAGCGGCATGTGGAATATTTTAATCATACATTTACTCATTTTATCATTCAAATTAATATAAAGCTTAGTCATTCATTACTTTTCAACCATGTTCATATTTTAACACTTTAGTTGTACGCTTAAATTTTTTATTATCCAAATCAATGCGAAAATATTTATTCATAACCTTTTACCTTAAAATCATAATAAATGTTTTTATTATACATTTACTTTTTTTATCATCAAATTTAATAAGAAAAGTGACTATTCATTTTTTACCTTTTAACCATGTAGACATTTTGTATTATTCATAACATTACTTTCATAAATAGCTTTTTATGCGTATATACACTGAAGAGTCATTACATTTTGATCACCCTNTATCATCAAATTTAATAAAAAAAGTGATTATTCATTCTTTACCTTTTAACCATGTAGACATTTTGTATTATTCATAACATTACTTTCATAAATAGCTTTTTATGCGTATATACACCGAAGAGTCATTACTAGAGCCCGGATTTTGATGACCTAAAAAATCTCAACTAATGCCCTTAAAAAGTGCAAAAAATGCCCTTAAAAAGGGCAAAAAATGCCCTTAGAAATTCAAAAAATGCCTTAAATAAAGTAAAAATATTGAATTAAAAAAATGTTTTGCCCTTTAAAATTATTGTGAGTCATTTAAAAAATATAAAGCAATGCGAAACTTGTTCTACGTTCATTAAAGTTTGAAAAATTTGTTTTATATCCTAAAATAACANGACGATTCAACCCTTATGACATGGTGCATTATCCTGTTGGTAAACACCATCCCCTGCAGGAAAAACTGTTGTCATGAGTGGGTGAACCTGATCTGCAACAATGTTCAAGTAGCTTACAGACGTCAGGAATTGTTCTATGAGGATTATGGGTCCTAATGTGCTCCATGAAAACATTGTTCCTGGGCAAGAAACCATGAAAACCTGGGCGAGCCCATTGTTATAGATGGAGGATGGTCATAATGTAATGGCTTTTCGGTGTCTATTTTAACACTTTAAATTTTAAATGATATTTTTCGTAGTCTAAATGAATGTAACAATTATTTATTACTTGTTACGTGTTTATGTGTACAGATATTTAATATCCTTTTCGACATTTTAAATATGAATTTATGTTTTTTTATCCTCCAAATGTCCGTAAAAATTATTAAATACCTTTTAAGCAGGTGGCTATATTAGTATCGTAATTATATCAAAATAAAAATAATGAATCATGCTCTCTAAAATGACACTACCTCTTATGTGTGGGATATTTTACATTTAAACCATCCACTAATATTTTCTAGCAATTAATAGAAAGTTAACTGTCATAAGTTATGTCTTAGAATGACAATACCCTTTTAAAAGGGGTGATATTTTAAATATGCCTTCACTTTTTTAAATAGCCAAAAAAGACCACATTTCTAAACATAAGAAAATTCAATTTTACAATATATTGCTTACAATGTAACCACCACCACGTGGGACGTAAGTTCATTCCTCTATTTGATAAAAATGAGTCCTTGGGTGACTTTGATGCGTTTGCTCATTTTAATCTGCTGTGGGGAAAAGCGACAATTAAAGGATTGGCGGAAAATGATTCGATTTTCTGAACGCCAAGACTGAAACAGTTTGCTCGAGGCGGAAAAGGAGTCATTTAGCTGCAGTGGGAATTCAATATAATGAGGGGAAGTAAGTGAAAATAAAATAAAAATAACCATTCCTCCGGGTGACGTTTTCACTGATGCTGTTCGAAATTGAGTTCAGGGAGGAGATAGGGTTCGTAAAAGAAACAAATTGCTCTCTTGTTCACACTATTGCGATTAAGGATTATGAGTTTTAGATAATTAATGCAACGCGTTATTTTTTTTTCTTCCAAAACCATACTTTCATTTCATAAAAGATAAACACTTTATTGTTAGGAATGTTTTTAGCTAAAATTGTACTTATGATGAGAAAAATTGAAAATTGAAAGGAGTTGAAGTCTTAAATCTAAAACCAGTGAAATTCTATTGTTTATCTAATTTGATTAAATCCTATGAAGGAAGTTATCTTTAGAAACTCCTTTTGAGTTCTCGGATGAAACTAATCTGAATTTGAAACTTGCATGGCATCTTTAATTTTTGCTTCATTTACTCTACAGATTTCTCTTTTGTTAAAATAAATTAAGAATAACTTAGTTAAACTACTGACTTAGTTAAATAAAATAAAAATTAATATAAAGAGAAACTAAAAATAGGAAAACCAATAGTCGTTATCAAGACACATCTATTGGTATAAATTAATGCGATATTTCTGAATAAAGAATAATTATCCTAAGATAAAAAAGAACAATTATTTACAATGACAAACATAAAAACATGAGAATGCAATTTATCTGTTTAATCAACTAAACAGAAAGAAAAATGAAACATATTTATATAACTATTCTACTAAAATTTTCTAAAATATTTTCACACAAAAATATACGCATTTTTTATGCGAACGAACTGGACAAGTGTTATTTAATCAGAATTTAAGATTCTGTGTGGTTAAAAGGGTTATTTACTTTATGAAAATCTGTATTCCCCGTTAAAATGGGGGAAAACAGAATTTCATGAAACACAGTGATATTGAGAGATCCAGATTGGACAATACAAAAATAGTTTTTAATATTTTTCTCACCTTGTTGAGAGAAAAAAAAATTCAACTTTCCTCTCCCTCACATCCAAATGATGCTGAGTTAAACTCCTCCACACGCGATTCGGATCTCCCAATAATATAGGGTTTACTTCTTCCATTGAAAAAAGTAACAAAATTTGTTTCATTTTTTTTTCCTTTGGACACTATTCATGATTTAATTTCACCATTTGTGGGCTATGATATTTCCTTACCTTTGATGCATGTACAATTTCAAAATTTTGTTTACTTAAATTATTCTTTTTATTTATTTTGTAATTAGCTTCTGAAATTTTTTGAGGAATTTTATATGGTCCACTAAAAGGAGGTGACAACTTCCTCGTATTAGGATAAGTAAATTCTTCAAACATAACTAATTCATCAGTTTTAAAGTCTATATCTAAAAATCTTGCATCACAATAAATTTTGTTTCTTTCATGATATTCTTTAGTTCTTTGAACTGCTATTTTTTTAGCTTCCTCAACGGGTGGATAGATTTCTTCATTTAAGGGATTTTCATAGGGGAGTCTACCATGTGCATAAGGTATGCAGGTGGAAATTTTGTTACAGAATGGGGAGTTAAGTTATTTAAAGGATGTCAAATATTTGCATAACTATCTATAAATTTATTGTAAACATTTATTGATCCAAGAAATCTTTGCAATGATTTCACATTTTTAGAGGGCATTAACTTTTTTATCACCTCAATATTATAGTTATCAGGTGATACAATCCCATTGCACATTTCATATCCTAAAAATTCTCCTTGCTTTTGCAAAAATGAACATTTTGAAAGTTTTAATCTATCTAATTTCTATCGAATTTATTTATTAATTTATCTATTTTTTTATCTATCTAATTTTTGTATTAATACAAAAGAAAATTTTTGTAGAATGCTGGAAATAATACGAAGAACTTAAATGCAGAATGCTGTTTATCATTATAAAATAAATTTTTATGTACGAGAACAAATTGACGGTTTATTAATTTAAGAATCGTGTTTTTTAATATTGATTTGTGATTATTTCTAATAAAGTTTCTCAAAATCTCTATTATCTTGCGTAATTACTTATTATATTACTATTACTTATAATTTATTTCATTGTCACCATTTTGGTTAACTTAATATCTTTTTTATTTTATTTTAGATTCATATACTTTGATGACATTTGCAGAAATGATACCAATATACTCGTAGTCTGATTGGTTTATAAATAAACACTGAAAATACTGCTTACTTAACGAGTTATTTTGACATTCCTGGTGAGTTATATTTCTTAACCTCTCCACGTAATCAATTATTACTGTTTATTTACCACTGTATCGCTATAAGTAATGACTACTTTCTTTACAAATATAAATCAAATTAATACATGCTGAATATCTTTCGTCCTTTCTTACATCGCGTGATAATAATGTCTAACTCTAAATTACAATGATCATGACTATTTTGCGTGACTTCAAGCTTTTTGTTTAAACTTTCTTTTAATAGCAAGGAAATACACTTTTCTAGATTTTAATGGAACAAGTGAGATTTATTTAGTTTTATTTCATTATTTTGAAATCGATAGCGTGGGTTATTTTTCTTCAAAAAAATTCAATTTCCTAAGTTATTTTTACCTTTTATTTCATTAAATAGCTTTCCCCATTTTTTTAATTGACTAGGAGGCTGCTGCCCCTTGTAATTTATGCTCATTCATCATTTGTTAACAGTCAATATTTTTACAAAACACAAAATATTTTGTTTTCAAAATATTTTTGTTTAACTTAAGTTCATTTTGTTATCATATTAAGGGGGGACCCCATCCTGAGATGATAAAATATTAACGTTTTTCTTGAATTTTTTTTAGTTAATAAAGACAATGCAGAGACTCCTTGTTTCTTTTATGTTATTTAGATACAATTTAATTTCATTTAAAAAAAATTTCCCTTACAAAATAATAAAAAGATAAGTTGGTGGCAGCTCCGTGTGTGGCTAGTCATGAAAAAGCAGCACCTCACTGGCCTCATGGATTTAGAAGTCCTGAAACACAAGAAAATGATTTTGTTTAGATTGTCTGAAACATAAAGACATTGTCTAAAAAGTAGCAAAGCGGTTTTTTGATATTCGCAAAATTACCAAAATGGCGGCAACTTAAAGAAAAAGTTAAGTTTTTCATTAAAAAAATATTCATTGAAATACTAATATAAAATAGAAATATAAAAATATTAAAATAATTCTATGCTACTTTCTAAAGAATATTTTTACGTAATTTAAAATAAAGAACAGCTTATTTCGTTGTATAGATCATGAGAAAAACGTTAGGCCGGGTCAAAGAACAGCGTTTTGAGAAAAACGCATTTAAAGTTTTGACTTATGGTAGGGGGAAATGTTTAATTTCATATATATAATGGTCGATAAATGAAATGCCTACAATAGATTTCTATATACAGTCAACAGAATGGATGAGACACAAAAAGAATGTCGTCCCTCCTAATACGGCCAAACGGGCTTTCTTCCTGCTTAGCAACGACTCTCTATTTTCCGGTATAACTTCCAAATGAAGTTAGGTACCGAGAAATCGTTTTAGACAGACATTAGGAAGGGTACAAAGATTCAAAACATGCAATAAATTTTTTTTCCGAATTTTTGAAATATTCAGGGTGGGGTCCCCCCTTAAGCATAACGAGATGGACGATTTGAAAAATTAGTAGGGTAAACTAACCAGTGAAGGAACACTTAAGCTTCGTTTTCCTTTTAAAAAATCATATTAATTTCAAAATTCGTAATTTTAGTTAAATGACAGTGTCAACATATTTGTTACTAATTGCAAATTACGTAAAAAAATTGTAGAGAACTTACATAATATTTTTTTAAAGTTTTGGAGGCTCAAATAACAAGTAGTAAGAAGACCAAGTGAAGGAACAGCTCAACCCAGTGAAGGAACACAAAATTGCCCAGTAAAGGAACACTTAATTTTGGTTATTTTTTGATGCTCTTTATTAATTTATTAGCCATACAAATATATAAAAACAAGACTATTTGTGAAATTAAGCCATACAAGTACTTGTAAAATGCTAACTTTTTTCTGTATTCATTAACTAGAAATTAAAGTGATGTTAAATACAAAATAAATTTTAAAAAAATCATTCATTCTTATAATTTGACAGACAAATCCAAATCATTGTGTCATCCGATGCTGTTTATTATCATTATTATTTTATCACCTTTTTGTTTACTATTTTTCCTTTTATTTCTTGAAGCTTTTTTTAAGTATTTTTTCTTTCTTTTTCTTCTCCATATTCTCTTGTTTTAACTCTTTTTTAGATCTTTCAGCCTCTTGAAATTTTTGCCATTTCTCTGAAGTTAGTGCAAAAGGTAATTAATTCGTTTTTCTTCTTATTTGACCTTTCTTTTTATCCTCAATATTTGACCAATGTAAATGGTTCTTCCAAACTTCTTCTGACTTTTCAGCAACATTTCTAGAATGCCTTTCTCAAAAATAGACGGGGGAACGGTGTCTTGAAGTTTGAAGAAAATCCATCTCTTGTTGACTTTTTTCGACTGCGACCCCTTTTGTAGAGAGAAAATTTTTGGCGACCCCTAGAGATAAATGTTCACAAATACGATGTATATTTCGAGCATTTCTTTCGTTTCATCGAATAAAAACATCATCATATTTGACTCATATTAATTTTATTTATAATTTTAAGAAAATACTTTTTGTATAACACAAAAATCAGTAAATTGCCCTTTAATGAGATGTATGTGGCTGCAAGTTTCTAATTATCTCATCGATGTTTGGATGTATGTTGCTAATTGCAATTCGCATATCATCTTCAGGGTTTAAACGCGAGCGGTATTTAGTTTTTATTGAAACTAGTTTGCTAAATCCAGTTTCACATAAATACGTTGATGCAAATTGTATTAACACTCTGATGGCATTCTTGCATAAAACGGGATATTGTTTTTCCACGGATAGCCAGATAGAGAATACATTACGCATTACGGTCAAAGAAAGAGTGGACAGCATGAAATTGCAATTAAACAGTGAGTGACGGCGCTTCACTCTTTATATGTACACAGTATAGTATGCAGCATGCAGGGATAATGCATTTCATAAAAATTTGGCGACCCCCAAAAACCTTCTGGTGACCCCCACAGGGCTCGCGACCATGGGTGCCACTCTTCAGTCCTGGGGACTGAAATCAGTCTTGAGAAAAATCAATAGACTAATGAATTCTATCAATTAAATTAAATTTTCTTTTTTTTTTCATTAGAAATTTAAAAAATTTTTTGGTCAAAATGAAAATTTGTTATATATAAATGAAAACATATGATATGGTACTGATGTCAGGACTTTTATTTATCTTTTTTTTGTCAGCTTCACTAAATCTTATTCTTAAAGTCTTGACAAATGCGATTGATTGAACTTCATGTACTTCCGTAAATAAATTTGCTTATTCTAAATCTGCTCAAGTTTGCTTCCCCCATCGTAACCTATTGTCATGCTAGCCAAAGTTAAATCAAGATTATTTTTTTTAAAAGGAAAGAAATTATAGTGCTAGAGCTAAGAAATAAGTAACGGTGAAATGAAAAATAAAGATGTGAATGGTTTCAGGTTGTTCAGTAATAGTTGTAAAAAAATATGCAAGGTTAGCTGTTATTTTCGTTTTGTTTGCTCAAAAAGCGTAAAATAAAGAAAAAAAATAATCACATGAATTTAATATGTAGGCTATTATCAAGGAAAGGTAAATTTTGGTATTAGTGAGCTATAAATTTCTAAAAGTTTGGTAAGCAAAGCTAGACAGTATTATTTGGTCAAAAAATATGTTCAGTCCTGAAATTTTTTTAGAGTGGCACCCCTGCTCGCGACCCCTAGTTTGCGCACCACTGATCTAGAGGATCTTTAGAAGTACTGATTTTACTTACAGAATCATTTCTTTCTTCAACTAAAAGAGGATTAGCATGAGAGCTCATTTTAAATTCGATATCTAAGATGCATTCATTATCAATACTAGCTTCAGTTCCTAAGTTTGACTTAACCAAGTGGTCTTCTTTTAATACGTACTTCTTCCATATTGAAAAAAGTACAGGCTCTTGGACATTTTCGATGTTAGACTCTTCAGTCAATGCTGCGTTAAAAATTTGCAACATATCTTGAGGGATTTCCCTCTCAAGCTTCTGAAGAAATTGAGTATCGTTTCTGTTTAACTCTGTTTTTTGTTAGTAGCTTGCTTCTAAATTCTAACATTGTAAAGTAGTTTTTATGAATTATATAATCACGTTGCTGTTTTATAATGATAGCTTATTAGGAGTTCTTGGTGCAAAAGCCAGCGAAAAAAATTTCTGTTCAAATTTTTATGATTATATTTAATTAGTTTTCGATTTGTAAATATTTGATGTAACTACACACCCCATTAATAAATATAAATTATAATTTTTTCATAAATTAAGCTATTAAATTAACAATTTGAACTGAAATTATTTCAGGAATTATTCATACAATTTTTAACAAAATTTCAGTTGTCCTCTATATAGCAGAATTACTTATCCTAGAGTCATGTAAAATCATATTTCACACATTACTATTCAGTCACTGGAAGTATTCCCAGTGAAGGAACATGCCTGTTTCTTCACTGGTTAGAAGTTGTTCTTTGTCTTTTAAACAGAATTTTGATGTATAATATGACTAAAAGTACAAGAAAATTAAATTTTTATTTTTATTTTCATTAACTGAGAAAAGAACCCAGTAAAGAAACACTTGTTCCTTTACTGGTTTTTCATCATTTGGTGATCCAGTGAAGGAACATGCCTGTTCCTTCACTGGTTAGAAGTTGTTTTTCGTCTTTTAAATAGAATTTTGATGTATAATATGACTAAAAGTACAAGAAAATTAAAAAAATTTCTTATATTTTTATTAACTGGGAAAAAAAACCAGTAAAGGAACACTTGTTCATTCACTGGTTTTTCATCGTTTGGTGATCCAGTGAATACACACACCCTTATCTCTGTACTTGATTATGCTATGGTGCTTTAAAAAATAAAACGTAACTTCAATAACTATATTTTGAATTGTCTTTTTCACAGTGAGAAAAATATGACTATTAAATGCAATTAATCCCACTTCAAACATATGAATGCATACACTCACTTTATAATTTTTTCAAAGAAACAAGGTGTTGCAGAGATAATAACAAATTCAAAAATTTTTCCAGAGAAGTCTATTTGACCAGGTAACCCAAAACATTGCTAGATAACTTCCTATTGTTTGGCAGTAAGC